TCCTCCTCCTCCTCCTCCTCCTCCTCCTCCTCCTCCTTCTCCTCCTCCTCCTCCCACGACGACGACGACGACGACTAGGGACGACGGACGACGGACGACGACGACGACGATGACAGGTGTCTGCGATCGGGCGCCGCAGCAAGCCATGAGACGCAGACCCAGGCATCCAGCGTCTCGGCGAAAATCGAGGCGGAGATTTTTCCTCACTTTCGGCCTCTCGGGGCCAGTGCCGGGGGACCGTCTAAAAGGCGGCTCGGGATGGAGAAGCGGCCCAACGGAAGTGGTCGAGAGTCGAGAGGTCGAGAGTCCCATGCCTCGGGTCATGAGGAAACCATGGGGACGAGGAGGGCATCCTGGCACTGCTCCTGCGCGACGACAAAAAAAAAAGTCCTGCGCGAGATGCCACAGCGACCTCACTTAGGCCGCGGCCTGCGCGGGCCGCCGCGCGGGCAGCTCACGCGCGAATGTCGGTGAAGACGGCCCCGTTTTCTTCCGTCGCCCACCTGGGGAGCAGGAGGAGGAGGAGGAGGAGGAACAGGAGGGGGAGGAGCAGGAGGAGGGGGAGGAGCAGAAGGAGGAGGAGGAGGAGGAGGAGGAGGAGGAGGAGAAGGAGGACGAGATCTAGGGGCAACGATACGGGGGGGATAGGCACAAGGGGGGTACTCATCGACCCCCAATCGCCCATTGATCGTCAATATACAGGGGCTTGATAGCCTCAGCCCGTCCAGGAGGGTGCGGTTTTGCTCTCGGGGGCCTATCGCCGATCGAGCGGCGATGTATCGCCGATTCCAGGTCGATGTTTCGCGCCCTTATGCCCGTCCCCCTCCATCGTTGCTCCGCAGACGTGGGGGCCCCGCAGTGCCCCCCAGAAGCTGAGCATTGCTAAAAAGGTCCCGTCGTGATCCCGGCGCCACCCAGACAGATTGACACTATGTGTGCGTCGCCGCGACAGGGGCGACGCGCGCGCGCGCTCAGCCATCTGAATTATAATGTATGTTCGGTGGTGAGCGCTTTCTAGCCGTACCGGTGGGGTAGCGATCTGGAGGATAGTTGTCCAGGAGGGAAAACAGTACACAGACACAATGAATCGTCGATGCCCAGGGAAAGATAAGAAAATATGGGGAGTGGGGGGGAAGACGAACGCCCAGAAAATGTAAGAAAACATGGGGAATCCTGGGATTTGTGTCTATTTATTTGTGTGCCCCTGGGCCCCTTTCAGTTGTGCGTACGCCTCCCGGAAGGACACACAGCACCCGTATGTCATTCCGCGCCACATAATTTTCTCATGCCCCGAGGTGGTCCTTCCTCCCCCTCCTCCTCCTCCTCCTCCTCCTCCTCCTCCTCCTCCTGCTCCTCCTCCTCCTCCTCCTCCTCCTCCTCCTGCTCCTCCTCCTCCCTCCCGACGCCGTGATTTTTGGTCGCGGCGTGACCCCCAGAAGCCTGGACCCCTTCCCGGGGACTGGCTCTTCCTCCCGAGTCGCTTCTTGACGGCTCCCTGGCCTGGTGAGGGGGCCCGAAAAAAGCCAGCACGATATATATATATATATATATATATATATACATATATATATAGAGAGAGAGAGAGAGAGAAAAAAAAAAAAAAAAAAAAAAAAAAGAGAGAGAGAGAGAGAGACACACAGAGAAGCCTCCCGTCGTGATGTTTGTCAGGGAGCTCAGGGGAAGGTCTGGGCCCCCGAGCCCCGGGGAATGTAGGGCGCCCGAGCTATCCGGGGATAAAGCTCGGGCCGGGGCAACTCGGGCCTGGGTTCCAGAGACAAAACGAACCCGCGTTACGTCGCCCTGCCCCGAGTTGCCCCTGATGCTCCGGGACTCTGAGAAGGGGTCGAGACCTCCGGGGGGGGGGGGGCACGCCGCAAAGGACCAATGCCAAGCTCCTGGCGCCGAGGGGGGCCGCGGGGAAAGGGGGCGAAGCGCGGAGGCGGCGCAGGGGCGCGCGCCCTCGAAAGGCCTCCGCGGACTGGACGCTGCCGCCGGCGACGAGCCCAGAGGGGGGGAGAGAAGCGAGGAGGAGAAGGCCTGCTCGGAGGGCTCGGGAGGCCCCTGGCCTGCTGAGAAGTCTTCGGAGCCCTCCCCCCGGAGGCACAGAAAGCACGCTGCCCAGGGGGCGAAGGGGGGGGGGCCTCGGAGGAGCCCCGCCGCCCTCTGGGGAGGCCTCCTCCTCCTCCCCCTCCCCCCCCCCCTCTCGCCGCCGATTCACCGGGGGGAGGGCCTCAGACCCAGGCGATCCCAGAGATCCGCCGCTGCGACAACAAGAAAAACACTGCAGCGGGCGGCGCTGGGGGGGCTGCTCCTCCCGGCCTCCGGGGGGGCCCTCCTGTCGGACCCCCCCCCCCGGGCGTCGGGAGCGGCAAGACCAAAGAGCGGCTCGGGACGAGAGCCCGGCCCTGGGGAAGAAAAGGTCCGGACCTCCAGCTGGGACGCCCGAAATGGGCACAGCGGAGGCCAGCCCACAAGAAGCCTGCCACAAGAAGCCCAACCCTGAGACCCCAGGACGTCCATCGATTTATTGGTGTGGGAACGTCACGCTGTCCATGGCAAAACCATCGAAACCCAAGAGACACAGGGCACCCTGGAGGCAAGTAGGTTGTTTCTTGGCACGGGCCCCCACTGCACCGACAAAAAATGGGCACGATGCCCGACAAGAAATGTTGACCAGAATCGACAGCGGCCGCTGTTGGGCAGGCTAGCCTTCTGTCTCGAATGGACAACGTCCGCGGCGGCGGGGACAGCGAGTCCTGCTCAAAATGAACAGGAACTGCTGTTGGGCACCGTACCCATTCTCTTTGTACAGATTTCGCTCATGTCGATCCAGGGCCTACGCATCGACAGCATTGGAGCAGCTGGATGTCTCGGCTCCAACTGCTTTCCGGCGCGGGACAGTGGGGGGGGGACCTCAGTGGGGGGCAAGGAAAGGAGCCCCGAACGGGCCCTTTTTATGGGGCCCTTTTTGGGGCCCATGGGGGCTCCAGAAAGGGCCCTCAGGGACCCCCTTTAGGGCCCTTCAGGGCCCTTGTTCTTCACCCCCCTGAGATCCTAGCGTTTCCATTTTTCCGAGCTGGGCGGTTTCATCCGGTTCTGGGCCCTGGGGCCCTCGCAGATCGATCCAGCTCGAAAAACGTCGCAGAAAGATGGGGTCTGGGGCTGCGGCCGTGATTTCTCAGACCCTTTCAGTTTTTGTCGCGCCGTCGAATCTCAAGGCCCCCATGCAGGTCACCCCCCATTACCACCCGCCCGATGATTCACATCGCGCGTTTTCGCCCGGCTTCGGGCCCCAGCGCCCTCTCGGATCGAGATCTGGCTCGACAAATGGCGCGATGCTGCAGTGCTTCCGGCACGTCGGATCCGAGGGGGGCGACAAACCCAAAGATCCAAGGATGTGAGTTCTTTCCCCATATCCAATGGATGGGGTTCTTGTTATTCTCTGACCGCGCCGGAGACCTCCCATCCCCTCCTCCCTCTCTGCACTAGACAACGATGATGGTTGTCATGATGATGACCATGGCATGGTGAGATTATGATATGGTCTGATGGTGATGGTTAATGATGGACGAATCTGATGATGATGCTGATGCTGATGCTGATGCTGATGCTGATGCTGATGCTGATGATGATGATGATGATGATGATGATGATGATGATGATGATGATGATGATGATGATGATGAGGAGGAGGAGGAGGATGTCTCGAGCGGCTTGCTGGTTTTAAAACTCCTACGGACAGTGCGATAAGGTTGGTACGATTTGTGGGACCCTGTTGGCACGTCCGACACGTCCGCGACCCCTCGGTGCGAGTGAGCCCCTGCGCGGGGCGGAGGGAGTCTGTCGAAGTCTGGATCGTCGAACTTCGAATCTAGATCGATTGCCTATCTCTCTCGTTCGAGGAACTTAAATCTCGAGCCTCAAGCGTGGAATCAAGGTCGTCGGGTCAGGTCGCTGGGCCCCCCTCTGGGCCCGAAAGGCCCCCTCTGGGGGGCGCTGGAAGGCACCTCTTCTGCGGCCATCGCTGCACCCCGCCCGCACACACACGCACTTCATCGCTCCCCGCCGAGTTGTGGAAGCCTCACAGGTGGGGTCCGAGCAAATGGGGTCGGAAGGTCGCGCCGCATCGGCGCTGCATCGGCGCTGCACCGGCCACAACGGCGATGCATCGGCGACGTCGGCGTGGAGATCACCGGATCGAGCCGCAACGCCGATGCATCGGCGAGGCGTCGGCGATGCGGCGCGATCCTCCGGCCCCATCTGCTCGGACCCCATCTGGGAGGCCCAGTGTGCCGCTTTTTGCCCAGCGGCGGCCATCAGCGTCCACGCATAGGGCGGCATGTGGCCGCGCGCGACGTGGCAGATCCCGCGGTCTTTCGCCCAGCGCCGCACGAGCAGCGCCAGGCCGGCCGCCCGGGGGTCGATCCGCCCGCACTCCAGCAGCAGGGCGGCGTGGTTCGTCGGGGTGTCCGAGTTCACGAAGACGTCCACGGGGACCGCCTGGTCGCAGACTCCCAGGGCGGTCGGCGTCACGAGGGTGACCTTCAAGAGGGGGCATTACACTGGCATGCAGTGGAGGCCCGACCACAAGAGAAACCTTCAGCAAGAAACCCAGCCCTGAGGCCCAAGGACGTCCATTGATGTTTTGGTGCGGGAACGTCTCGCCTTCCGTCGCAGAACCATCGAAACCCGAGAAACCCAGGGCACCCTAGAGGCAAGCAGGGTGTTTCTTGGCATGGGCCCCCACTGTGGAGGAGGAGGAGGAGGAGGAGGAGGAGGAGAAGAAGGAGGAGGAGGAGGAGGAGTAGGAGGAGGAGGAGGAGAAGAACGGAGGAGCGGAGGAAGGACGAGAGGAGGAGGAGGGGAGGAGGAGGAGGAGGAGGAGGAGGAGGCGAGGAGGGAGGAGGAGGAGGGAGGAGGAGGAGGAGGAGGAGGAGGAGGAGAGGAGGAGGAAGGCAGGGAGAGGAGGAGGAGGATTAGCGGAGGATTAGCGGAGGAGGAGGAGGAAGAGGAGAGGAGGAGGAGGAGGAGAGGAGGAGGAGGAGGAGGAGGAGGCGGATGAGGAGGAGGAGGGGGGAGGAGGAGGAGGAGGAGGAGGAGGGAGGAGGAGGAGGAGGAGGAGGAGGAGGAGGGCAGGAGGAAGGAGAAGGAGGAGGAGGAGGAGGAGGAGGAGAGGAGGACAGAGGAGGAGGAGGAGGAGGAGGAGGAGGAAGGCACCCTGGAGGCAAAGGAGGGTGCTTCCTGGCGTGGGCCCCCACTGCAGGAACCCGAGGCAGCAGCGCCGCAAGAGCCGACGCCCGGGGAGCCAGCACGGAGCCGCGCGCCCGCGGCACGGACGCCGGCACCACGGACACCGCGGCACGGCACCACGGACACACGGCACCGAAAGGGGCCCTGGGACACACTAGTAAATACACACAGATAACAATATTCCCCGTATTTTCCCAATAGTTTCTGGGCTTTTGTCGTCTTCCCCCCCACTTTCCCATATTTCCCTATATTTTCTAGGGAATCGACGATGAATTGTGTCTGTGTGTTTCTTTCCCTCCTGAGGCACTGGCACCACGCGCACGGGCACGGCACGCCACGGCCCACATCCTGGGCAGGAGGGTCCGAAATCGGATCGACGAGTCGGATCGGCGATCGACAAGAATCGGCTCGGCGGGTATCGGCCGCCGAGTCGGGGGAAGTCGAACATCGGCAGAAATCGGCAGGCTAGCTATGCCTCCAACGAGAGATCGGAAGCCGCATCGGCATCCCCAGACGGATAGAGTCGAAATCGGAGGCCATCGAAATCGAACCGGATCGAATCGGCGGAGTCGAAATCGAGCCCTGCCTGGGCGGCACACGGGGACGGCACGACGGGCGGCAAAACTTGTTCCGCGCTACGAGCAGACGAAACCACGGCACAAGCCTACACTTTTGGCGCCCCGCGCGGACTTCCTCGGCTCGGAGCGCGCTGGGGGCCGGCGCCGGAGGCGCCGCCAGGCGAGGTGGGGGGGGGCCAGCGCGGATAAAGAGATCCGCGCGGAGCGCCACGGGTGTGTGCTTGTGTCGCGTGGGCTTCTTCGAGCTGCGCTGCCCCAGGCACGGCGCACGGCGCACGGCGCGGCGCGGCGCCAGGCAGCACCTGCTCCGCACTCTGCGGTCACGAAGCAGGCCCTCCGAGCATCATATGCAGGCCCCTTGCATGCAGCGGCCGCTGCTCAGGCAGAGCAGCTGCTGTCGGAGATGCATTTCCGGAGGCCCGCGCGGACTTCTTGGTGGATCCGCGCTGGACCCCCCATCGCTGGCGCGCAGAGCGCGCCAGGAGCGGCGCCGGAGGCACCGCCACGGGGTCCGGCGCAGACCCGGGGAACCTGCGCGGACTCCGACTGCGCATGACTGTGCACGCGCTTATTTTCCTTATTTTTCTTATTATTATTATTATTCCTCTTCTTCGTCTTCTTCTTCTTATTATTTTTCTTTTTCTTCTTCTTCGACCTTCGGCTCCGCGCTGCGGAACGACGACCTTCACGGGAGAACCAAAGGCCATCGCTGCGAGAACCCCTCGGGGGGAGCGACCCCTGGGCGGTGGCACGCTCGAGCATCACCCGCTACGGGACGAAGCGCAGGCGGGAGTGCCACCGCGCGGGGCTGGACCCCCCCCCCCGACGGGCTCTCGGCGGCGATGGTCTCTGCTCGGAGGCTGCCGGGGGATCTGCGCTGGCTGGTCCCCGAGAACATCTGTCAAGGGGGGGGGGGGCGGGGCTGAGGGCAAATCCGTTCCAGAGCGCTCCCCAGACCCATCCCGGGGTTCACCTGGTGCGGCTCTTCACCCCTATATAGGACCCTCTTCTCTGCCCCCCGGAGACCGGGAAGAAGGGGCAATACACAATCCCCTCTAACCCAGAACCTCGACCCTCGCCCCCCCCCCCGGTGACCCGGGCGGAACCAGTGCTGGGCCACCTCAGCCCCCCCCGCCGGCTCCAAGTCTCTCTGCTCCTCCTTGGAGGCCTGCGGAAGCGAAATGCCCCGCTCGAGACCAGCTCCTGGGTGCAGAAGCGGAGGGCCGCCTTCTGACGCCGGCGGAGCCGCTCGACGGCGTCGCCCGCGGCGGGGTCCAGCGCGCCGCCGCCCACGGCGCGCCGCAGGGCTTCCTTGCGCCGCTCGTCCAGGCGCGCACCGCACGCAGGGGCCGCTCCGTGCACGGTGAGGCTTCGGGCTGCGCACAGACGCCCCCCCAGGCAGTCTCAAGTCGGGCATGTCCCTCTACAGGAGGGGTATTCAAAAATAGTCCAAAAGAATCCGTCTGGGGACACGACTCGACCCCAGACTGACCCTGGACGGACCCCGGACTGACCCAAGACAACATGACCCCAGACTGACCCCGGACTGACCCCGGACTTTGACCCCGGACTGACCCTGGACTGACCCCAGACTGACCCCGGACTGACCCCGGACTGACCCCAGACTGACCCCAGACTGACCAAAAACTGCATGACCCTGGACTGACCCCGGACTGACCCCGGACTGACCCCGGACTGACCCCGGACTGACCCCAGACTGACCCGGACTGACCCCGGACTAGCCCCGGACTACTGACCCCGGACTGACCCCGGACTGACCCCGGACTGACCCCGGACTGACCCCGGACTGACCCCGGACTGACCCCGGACTGACCCCGGACTGACCCCGGACGTACCTCGGACTGACCTCGGACTGACCCCGGACTGACCCCGGACTGACCCCGGACTGACCCGATGACGCACGGATCCACCCTGGACTGACCCCGGTTGACCCCGGACTGACCCTGGACTGACCCCGGACTGACCCTGGACTGATCCCGGACTGACCCCGGACTGACCCCGGACTGACCCCGGACTGACCCCATGACGCACGGATCCACCCTGGACTGACCCCGGTTGACCCCGGACTGACCCTGGACTGACCCCGGACTGACCCTGGACTGATCCCGGACGGACCTCAGACTGACCCCAGACTGACCCTGGACTGAACCCGGACTACAATGGCAACGACAACATCTTCTCAGCAGCGTTCTCGGGGACACATACTCGATATTGAGGCCCCAGCTCGGTAAAATTAGACTCGGTAAAAATAGATCTCGGTTAAACTAGGTCGGCATCTGATCTATATCTTAAACGAAAGGAGTTTACCCTTTGTGACCCGTGTCTCGCGACACATGCCTCCAACGTTCCTGTGGCAGTGTGGCCCTGGGAAGGGTCTTGTGTCTTCTAGCGTGTCCTCTCCAATCAGCCTCGACTGTGCAGTAGGAGCTCGACCACAAGAAACCTTCCACACAAAAAACCCAACCCTGAGACCCCAGGATGTCCAGTGATGCTTGCATGGGGACCTCATGTGTTCCATCGTAGAACCATTGAAGCCCAAGAACCACAGGACACCGTGGAGGCAAGCAGGGTGTTTCTTGCCATGGGCTTCCACTGTAGGGGGGAGCGCCGCCCTGGAATCGGCGATGCATCGCCGACAGATCGGCGATGGGCGCAGGATCGCACATGTTCTCGATGGAGGCGCAGCGAGAGCGGGAAGGGTTGTCACTATCTCCGGCCTCGAAGGCCGTCCCTGGGCCCCGGGGCCGTCAGCAAACGACTAAGGGTGGAAAACTGGTCCCCCTCCCCCTCCCAATGCCCCTGCCCCATCCCCCTCCCCCTCCCCCTCCTCCTCCCCGTCCCCCTGCTCCTGCTCCTGCTCCTCCTCCTCCTCCTCCTCCTCCTCCTCCTCCTCCTCCTCCTCCTCCTCCTCCTCCTCCTCCTCCTCCTCCTGCTCCTCTCCTCCTCCTCCTCCTCCTCTCCTCCTCCTCCTCCTCCTCCTCCTCCTCCTCCTCCTCCTCCCTCCTCCTCCTCCTCCTCCTCATCCTCCTCCTCCTCCTCCTCCTCCCCCTCCTCCTGGGGAATGAGCCGAGGCACCTCGGGGCATCGACCCGGGATCGGCGATGCCTCGCCGACGGGTCGGCGACGGGCACCTCTCGGTGGATGTCCCCACGTTCCTGTAGGGGGGGGGGGGGGGGGGGGGGCCGTCGGACCCCTGCACCGGCGGTGAATGGGCGGTTGGGGGCCGACGCACTCCCCCCCCCACCCGATGTGCCTGTCACCCCCCATCGTCACCCCCGATCGGTGTAGGGATCCCCTCGGTCCGCATATAGCCATCTGCTTGCGATTGGGGTGCGCGCGCTTTCTTCGAGGCACTTCAAGCCTGATTCTTACTGAATTCACAAATCCCTCCCAACTGTGCGAACACTCTGCCCTCTGTACCCCCTCCTATACAACTGCCTCACAACAGAGGGGCAGTATATCCCAACTAAGGAAGCGGACTCTATACACCGACGCTGTTCCCGGTCCTGCACTGGAATCTGCACCATGGTGTATACATGCTTCGTCGGTCTACCAGGAAAACTGGGAAATAGTATACACCACACCACCCCAACGTCGCCGCCGACCATCAAAAAGTCCTGGTATTGAAAACAGCCCGCCACTGGCAATGTATACGTTCCAGTTTCCGACGATGCTTCCCAGAACGTGCGTTAGCGCCAGCTTGGCGGCGCGCACAAGGGGGCAAGGGGAGGGGGGAGGTTTCTGTTGAAGGAGGCCGCTTCTTAGAAGGCGCCAGCCCTACACCTACAGATAAGGCCCGCGCCTTCTAAGAAGCAGGGGTACATCTAAGAAGCCTCACCCCCTTCCCCTACCCCCTTCCCGCTCTCCTTCGCGTGGCCCACCAACGTGCGTCTGTCCACCGAAGCCCTCCAGTGCGGCGCAGTCAGTGAAGGCCAGCACGGGCTGCGAGCTCTCAACGGAGCTGAGCGGGGTAAACGGTAAACACACGCACACGCGCGCGCACGCACTGGGCCAGCGCACGTCCAGAGGACCATCGATCTCCCCCCCCCACACGCCCGACCCGGCCAAGGGAGCAGACGGGGTCCCCCCGGCCCCCCTCGCCCGAAGCCCCTCCTCTGGGGGGGTATAGGGGGAGGGGGGCTCGGGGAAGG